CTTCTCTCTCTCTCTCTCTCTCTCTCTCACACACACACACACACATACACACACACACACACTGCCCGCAGACAAAATAGCATGCTTTCATCAACTCGAGAGTGTTGGAACGTTTGTTTTGACTCGTAATATTATATTATCACAGGCCGTCACGCACTAACACAAGGTCACGTCCAAGTCTCATCCGGACACGAGACAATTGAAACACCTCGGTAGGTGTACACATTTTTGTCATATCCAAAAGCGTTACATAAATTGCGTAATTGAGAGTTCGTCGATTTCCCTTACACCGGCGAGCTCTGAGCTAGAGCTCAGTGTAAGGGAAAACGACGAATGGTCTCTATCCATCCGTCAAGGATCACTGCTTCGTTTTCCTGCCTTCATCTCATGGCTCATGGGATGGACTGCTTGACGCAGTCCAAATAAATAACATCACTGTCGTCACTGACAAGATCTAAAACCGGCAGTGGAAGCTCCCCCTAAATGAAGCTTTAAAGTGCCATGAGAACGTAACCTCACTAGTGCCTGCAAACTGCATTCAGGGCGCCATGAACGTTGCCTGCCAACTACACTACTGCGCAAAGTATGTGACTAGATTTAGTCTAGATCTAGATTTCTAGGCCTACAAACTCTAGAAAAACAAAGCCATTCATTTTAAATTTTTGGAAGGCAGGTCATTTAGGCCTACAGTCAAGACGAAAGTGCAAACACTCGAGAGTCTCTTGAAATCTACAAATCGAGAGTCCAGATGATGCATAAAATAGATTGCAAGGGGCCTGGTTTTGTCAAGGCCTTGCCATACAAGTATAGATCTAGAATCTAGGCAAACTTCAATGGTTCCAGCATTAGGCCTACTCTTGCAACCTGTCTAAATAGAGCATGGACTCGACAACAAAAGGAAACAAAAACAAGCAAATGATAACAACAATAAAATAATAACAACTGGGCTAGCTTTCGCCTGGTTGGGTTGATGCCCCAGTGCACTGCCAGTGCAGAAGCGACTTCTCCAAACTGGCAGCGAAACAGCATAAAGTTCTACTGCCTGCCAGAGTAACCATACTTTTGATGTCAACAGTAACCATTTTAAATCAATATAATACACACATTATTTTCAAAACAATACCCGTAGTACTGTGTATCAAAGAGGAGTAACTTTTCCAAGATGGCGAAAATGGCGACGCCTGAGCGATCCCGTTCAGCCCCGTCCGCCTTTGCACACTCCGCCGCGCTTCACGCCGCAGGGGACACGAACAAGGAGGCCCACACATTCACATGGGTCGGCAGAGAGAGGAGCGCTTTGCGATGAAGGGATGGGTTAGACGTTTGAGAAGAATAAGATTTCAGGTGAAATAAATTCGTTACTCACCAGGTAATGCCTGGTCACTACAGTCGTTCACTTCCTAGAGAGTAAAAATGTGAGATCTATTCTATCTGCCTAGTCTATTTATCCGTACGGTATTTTATACATCTGCCACCCCCCCCTCCCCTTTCTCTCTCTCTCTCTCTCTCTCTCTCTCTCTCTC